CCCGCGCCCCGGGCCCTGCGGTGCCCCTCACCCCCGGCCCGCAGCGCCCCTGGCGGTCGTGCTGGGTGCAGCTGGCCCGGCGGTCACGTGATTTCGGGGAAAGGGAGTGGAGCCTCAGAGGCGGCCGGGCTGCGCCGGGCGGGGGTCGGGCCGGGCCGGGGCAGAGGGACAGGACACCCGCGCAGACAGAGCGACGGGCGGGCACTGCCAGGTTCGTAAGGGGGTTTTGCCTGCTGCCCCAGCTGGGACCGGGACCGGGGGCTGGGGGCATTGGGGTGCAGGTTCCCCGGACAGGGACATTCCACGGGGCCTCGGCCCTATTGTGCAAGGGCCAGTGGCAGTGCCCGGCACTGGAGCCCCAGTGCCCCTCACTGCCGACCCTGCGCCCCCCCATCCCAATTGGTGCCCCTCACTCCCGACCCGCAGCCCCCGCCTCCCCCCACGGTGCCCCTCGCTCCTGCCGCGCTGCCCGCAGGATGGCGTCGAGTCAGGTGCGCTCCACACGGCGCCTGCGGCAGTGGGTGCTGGAGCAGCTGGCCAGCGGGCAGTTCCCAGGGGTGGTCTGGGACGACCCCCCCGACTGCACCATGTTCCGCATCCCCTGGAAGCATGCGGGGAAGCAGGATTTTCGGGACGACGAGGACGCGGCCTTTTTCAAGGTACATGCCAGTGACACACTAGCAACATGCCAGTGACATGCTAGTAACATGCCAGCCACACACTAGCATAGCAGTATATGTGGGTGGCACACTGGAAGCCAGGACAGTACTGTGCCACTAATATGCTAAGGAGGTGCCAGTGAAACGCCAGATTACATGCTACTGACATGCAAGTGTCACACTAGCAACACGTCATTCGGTTAATCTCGTGTCAGCCACATCCCAGCCACACACTGAGGACGCATTAGCCACAGGCCTGGTAGCACTTCAGCCACATGTCAACAACAAGACAATGACACGTCATCCCAGCACTCTTGAACCCCGTCACATGTGCCCACCATATGCTGCTAACACAGCAACCATATGCCCCCCCCAACGCTGGCACTGTGCCAAGATGTGCCAGGGACTCCTCCCCCCAGCACTATTGACATGCCAGCCATGCTCCACAATGCTCCCCCACCACATGCGTCCCTCTCCAGCAGCTGTGAACCAGCAGCTAGACACTACCACCACGCCAGGCACATACTAAGCACATATCCACCTGGAGGGTTTGGAGTGTGGGCGGAGGCAGAGTAGGGGTGTGGGTGGCTGGGGTGTGTGTGTGAGGGGTGGGGACATAGGGTCCAGGGGGCTCCATGGCAGTGTTGGGCGGGTTAGGAGGGTATCAAGGGAGTCCATGGAGGGGCCTGGTGGGTGAGGGG